CTCAGAATCCTGGACAGTTTTGCTTGAGGCTCTGTTGTCGCTGTTGGGGTCGTCCTGCCCGCACAGCAGGCCTGGAGGCAGCAGGGCAGTAGGGTGGTCCATGCTGGGGGGGCAGTGGTGTGTGATGTGTGGGCTCCTGCTGTGTGGGCCACGCCCTCCCTCTGAGCAGCACCTTCTATCTCCATCCCCAAGAGCTTCAATAGGTGTGCCAGGCCCCCCTCCCCGGCGCCCTTGTCAGGCCCTGCTGCTCCCCACAAGCGGCCGTGAGCCTGGAGTCCGGGCCTGGGGCTCGGGGCTGGCAAGGCCTCCGGAAGCTTCCTCCCAGCTGCCCGGCCTGCAGGCGGGCCACCTGCCTCAGCGATCTCCAGGGGTGCACGCTGGCGCCTTCCCAGCCGTGCTGCCCTCCCGAGCCTACAGTGCTGAAGGGCGTGGGCTCTTGCCTTTGGCCCGAAGCTCCCAGATACCAGAGCGGAGGGGACGGTCACATGCTCCGCCCTCCAGGTGGCCCGCCAGGATCACTGCCATAGGAGCTGTACGTTTTTCCTTAGCACTGAGTAGATTTTAAGCCCTGAACACTACTAGGTTGGCAGCAAGTTTAGAGACACATGCACACATTTTGATCTTTTAAAAATAACTAGTTTGTACCTTGACAAAATATTGTAAGTCCAGCCTGTTGAAATAGTTGCATCTGGGCCACTGGGTCTCTTGGAAGGAACAAAATGTAGAGGCGCTCAGCCTACCGCCTGTAAGACCGGAGCCTCTGAGCAGCCTTCCATGGGGCCGGCACAGGGAGTGCCCCTGGAGCGACTCAGGCTAGGCTTTAGGAGGACAGAGCGAGGCCCCTCCCCCTGCCCCACAGAGCAGCGAGGATTTCAGAGCCACAGTGGGTCACCCAGGAGTCCTAGGGCCCGTAGGCGATGGAGGGGCCTCTTCCCAACCACGGTTCTCCCAGGAGCCGTTGCCTTTTCCCCAGATGTTTGAAAAGAGCATGATCACTTTTTCTGGGTAGAGTGGTCTCTTTGGAGCAATGTGCCACCATCGGTGTGACCCATTGTTGGGCAGGTCAAGGACAGCAAAGGGGCAGCTGCCCAGTGGAGCCAAGTTCCCAGGCCTATAGCTAACAGTGGGTCTGGGACAGGGAGGGGTCCAGATGCTCAGGGAATGGCCCAAAGGATGTGCTAGGGGAGGGAGCACGTCCCTCTCCTAGCCCCACACCTACTTCCTAAGTCTGACTCAGTGAGTCCAGGGACTCTGGCCTCACGTGCCTTAGAATGAAATGGTAGCTACTCTGTCCGGCTGTTCTTGGTTCTTCTGTACAGCAGTCTGGGTGGCGTGAGTACTGGGATCCTTGGGGACGGGCTACGGAAAATGTATGCATAGCTAGAAACAACGGCCCTGGAGGGGGTTAGCCTGGTGATGTTTCTCATCATGTTTGCACCAGCTCTAGAAAAAGGCATCACTTTACGAATCTTTCCCTCTTAGTCTCAGAGAGGTCATTCGGGGGAGCCTTCCTGGCAGGTGCCTAGAAGCATAGCCTCGGGGATCTGCGCTCTGGGTGCAGGGCACCTTCCCGTGACCTATCTGTGCGCGGTCGTGCTCAGCTCCTCTCGTGGCTCTTTCCTTCACTTTCTACAAGGTCTCAGGAGTTGGTCTGCAGCCAGACCTGTCCCGAGGCCAACACACATGTCACTTTTGTGTGGGGTGAGGGTGACTTTGGGAGAATCAATTGACCAGGCTTTGAGCAGTGCTGGGATGACTTGGTGATCCACATGCAGCCCAAACCCGCCGACCTCTTCGACCTCATCCCCCAGCTGCCCCCTCGAGGTTCTGAGGTCTCAAAGGTTTACGGGTGAGTCCAAGATAACTAGGGGCCCGGCAGAGCTTCAGGACAAGGCTTCTGTCTGATGGGGGCCTCTGGGACCCCCATGTCTTTTCTTGCTTTCAGGGTCTGCAATCTTGGCAACAGCCGTGCACAAAGACACGTTCCTTGGTTGGTTGTAAATTGTTTGTAGCCGAAGTATTGCTTTTCCCTTGTGAAACAATGTTTAATTCTGTTAGCTTAGTATTGTAAATTAGGATCAAACCCAAACTAAGAGCTGGAGAATTTTATCAGTTTCCATATGAGATCTCCAGTAGGAATGAAATGGCAGCTCCGGTGAGAACAGACCAGCTATGAAATGTTAGACCCAGGAGTCGCCACTGTTCCTGTAACAGGCTGCCTTCCTAGGGGGCTGTTAGGACCTTATGCCGACTCTTGGCTGGAGAAATGCAGTGATGCTTGCAAAGCTCTTAATTGCCAGCTGTCTGGTGTCAGGTGGACAGACCGGCAGTTGCCACACTGCCCAGACCGCTGGACACCAGCAAGGTCTCCAAGGCCAGGCGCTGCCCCGCTCCCTTGATCCTGCCGAGGGAAAGGAGGGTGCAGGCGGAGGGGCAGAGGGTCGCCATGCGGGCCGTGGATGGCAGGTCGGGGAGCAGGTCCCCCACGCTGAAAAGCGTGCCCCTAACTGTGCCCCTCCGTTAACGTGTCAGGCTGGGCCTCCCTCGAGAGGAGTCTGAGTCTTTGATGGAGGCCTGTAAGTGTGCGTTTTCCATCTCTCTTGTCATCACCCAGGAACCTTTCAACTAAAGCACAGGCTTATAGAAATAAGGTTACTTTTTACATTTAATTTTCTTTTGAACAGTGATGTTTCCTCTGATGTCTCCACTGTCCATTCTGTCCAGCAAACAGTTCCATCTCCAAGAAGCAGACAGGTGTCAGGTCTCCCTCCCCAGCATACCAAGGCCGGGCAGGCTCCCGGCCCGCGTGCAGAACCCTGCCTGCAGCCATTCCCTGTTTAGTCCTGAGGGGCCCTCTCCTCCCCGGCCCTTCAGAGGCCTCCCCCAGTCCTCTTGTTTCAGACTCTGCCTCACCCACCCCCCACCCCAGGAGCATCCCAAATCTGCACCCACACCCGGTGTCCACCAGGGGCCTGGAGGCCCAGCCCCTGGCCTTGCCCCCACACCACACTTCTCTCCCCGCTCTGGCAGGGGGGCTCCTGGACGGGGCGCCCGGGGTCCTCTTGCGGTTTTCACCCACGACTGCTTCCGGCTCAGGGCCTGAGGGGCAGGACCCTGGGCGTAATGCTGCACAGTGTCCTTTCTAAAGTCATTGTCCCTCGGGGTTGGCATCAAAAGGGCTGGCCTGTTCACCCTGTCCACTTGGTGGTTTAGGTGGGTGTGGACCGCAGGAGCTGGAGGGTCTGAGGGCGGCTGCTTGCTGAGATGACCATCAGGGTCTCTTTCAAACATCCTGGCGGACTGTTGTCGGCTCCCCGCGGCCACCACAGCTGGATTAGGGCTTTAGCCAGCGCAACCTGGAGACTGAGTGCTTTCACTCTGGCTAGGAGAGCCTCCTGCAGCCCCTGAAGGCAGGGTGGCTTTCCAGTGGTGTCCCCACTGACCTCAGGACCCAGGAAGCCGGTGCCCTGCTCCTCTGTACCTCAGCTCCCTTCCTCCCTCGGAACTGCACAGAAAGGCGCCTAGGCCTCCAGCCCCTCACACTCAGAACTGGACAAAGCCTAAGGCCGGGGAGGGGCTGGGCCAGGGTGGCCAGACCCCACTGCCCGCCTGGCAGTCACGAGCCACCTGGGGCCCCTGGACACTGGACGGGCGGGGCTGGTCCCAACCAGCCTCCAAGGCTTCTTGTATCATTAGTAGTTCTCACATTGAGTACATGTTGAAATGATAATATGGGATATACTGGGTTAAATATTTAAATTCATTTGACCTGTTTTTAATTGTCAGATATGCCACTAGTTTTAAATTTCACGTGTGGCTGGCGTATCCTTGTGCTAGCAACGCTGGTCTGGAGATGCCACCTGCCCCAGTGGGACAGGTGTCCTCAGCACGAACATCACCCGCCAGCACGAACATCACCCACAGTCGGCGGGGGCTGGGAAAGGGGGTGCAGGCCCTGTAGGTTGAGAGGCCTGGGGTGGGGGCCTCTGCATCTCTGTCCCCCTTTGCAGGGAGGAGCAGTTTGGGGAGAATGAGGACCTCTGCCTTGTGTAGATTTGACAGTTCCTGGACATCCCGTGGCTCCCGGAATCCACTTTCCTGACTCTGAATTGCCTTAGACCCTGAGGAGGTGTATCTGATTGTGACACAGGTGACTCCACTCCAGACTGCCCACCAGGGACAGGGAGCCGGCCCTCGCGGCCTCTCTCTGCAGCCCCTGAGGAGCATTTCTCCTCTCTTGGCCAAAGGCTGCCCCCATCACTGAGGCAGTAAGACAGCTGTCCTTCCCTCTGTGCGCCGGGCCGAGGTGGGCGGTCTCCCCCTGGTTGGGTGGGCCAGAGCTTTCCCTCCGCTGTCTGGATTTCACCCGGCTGTGTTGAAGGGTCTGCCCTCGCCGTGAGGTCGGACAGGGTTGTGTCCCCTCCAGGAGTGGGTCCTGGATCCCAGAGAAGAGCTTCTGTCAATTCTGAGCGGGGGCAGGTTGCTAAATTCCATCAGCTCTTTGCTTCCTGACCTTGTCCAGATGAACAGATTTCGGGTTTGAGGTGAGAAACTGGAGATAAAATGACTTGCAGCAGGACCATGTGTTTCCCAGCTCCTCTCCAGCGAGGTGCAGGCGAAGCTGAAGATCAGTTTCAGGTGGTCACCCTCATCTGTGTCGGCACGATTCCGCTATGTGAGCAGGTGGCCACCTTGCTTACATAGCGCTAACCAAGTGCAGCGTGTTTCAGGACAGCTAAGGATGCTTGTGTCAAAACTGAAAATCTATAGCTGCAGTGTTGCACTATTGTAACCTTAAAATTCTTAGTAAATGAATGAGGCCAAACTCTGATGGCATCTCAGTAAATGCAAAGAAAGCTAGCGCTCTTTGCTGTGTAAGAGGTTTATCTTAAGCTCACGCCTGTATTGCAAGAAATCAGTGAGAGCCTGTGGCCTCTCAGTAGGACCCACCCTGAAGGGACAGACACCACCTCTTACTGGTGCAGAGAGTCCCCAAGTCCACCAGGCCAAGTGGCAGGACTGGGCTTTGTCCCAGGTCCTCCTTGCTCTACCTGCTGGGCCCTGTATGCCGGCGCTACAGCCAGAGGGGCCCCACCAGCACACCACCATCAGAGAAAGCCATGCCTTTAGGAAGTGCCAAGAGACTCCCTCCTTGGAGGCCCACCCTGGCTCCAGGGGACTGGGCGCACAGCCCTCGGAGGCGGCAGTGAACAGCCCCCCACGGGGTGCCGCTCACCTTTGGGCCAGTGATGCTCCAAAGAATCTCGGCCCTGAGACCTTCTCCCCTAGGCCAGCCCTGCCCCAAGCCTTGCCCCAAGCAGGAGGCCGAGCTCAGTGGATGCTGAGCTCAGCAGATTCCGATGAGGTGGGGATCAAGTAGATGGAAATGGAGGGGTTGTTAAAACCTTGGCTTCCAAACCATCAGAAACCTAACCGTGACCATGTGAAACTCCTGGAAGAGTAAGAATGACTGTGACTTTCTTCGTTGCCCCGTGTTTTGCTGGGTTAATGTAAACTGCTTTGTTTGCAGGGTTTACTGTCATCCCCAAACCAGGCCAGTTCTCCAGGTGGGACTGTAGTGTAGCAAGCCCACTTCTGCTGGAACAGTCTCGCCCGACTGGGTCCTGAGGGAGCGATGCGGACATCGGAGTCCAGAGCCCACCTCAGCCCGGCGTCCGGCGGCGCGGGAGGCAGTCGCGGCCGGAGGGAGCAGACGTCGCAGGGGCAAGAGTGGGCGAGAAGCGCGGGGCAGGGGCCTGTTCAGTTCACCCAAAGATGTTTCATTTTTAAATCATTCTTTTGGGGCTGCAGTAAAAAATAAGAAATGAGATTTTCTTGCTTTTTACTCTAAAAGTCAATGTAATTAAAACCTCATATATATATAAATATATACATATATACATAGTGTAAAATAAAATGTTTCTTGGACGAGAAATCCCCTTAAATCCAACTATTATCAACAGCACTTCACTCTGTTTTTGCACTGATCTTTTTAATACCTTAGGTGGTCGGAAGACAACCTGAAATGCACTCAGAGAGAAAGTTGTTACTTTCTGGCTTAAACATGTGATTCAGGAAGACCAATGCTGCAATCAAAGATTTTTAAAAAACTGTTTGCCCTTAAACTAGTTTAATGTTGTTAAAAAATTTCTTTGAACTTGGGTGTAATGGACCTCCAAGGTGTGGAGTGAAGGTGCCCTTTTAATCTGTTACCATTTATTTTAATACTGTTGTTCCAATGCAGTCACCTGTGTATTGTATTATATACAATGTCATTCTGCGATAGGGGAGACGGTCACTTCGGTGGTAATTTTCATCATCTAAAAGTGGTATTTCTAATTCACAAAAAATATTAAAACTATCTTGAATATACCATTTGCTTATCTTCTGTTAAATTGGCTCAGTTTTTCACGTGTTTTTTGCTGAACTGAATGTTTAACGCCATGCCCCTCACAGCCCTCTGCATCAGTCAGCCCGATTTGAGATGGGCTCATGGGGAGAGTCTCTGGTTCTCCAGACCCTCCATGCGGCCTCCCTCATCTTGGGCCTTTGTGGCAGCTGCTCCGTGTGCACAGACCCAGTGTCAGCCAGCCGTCTCCCTGTGGCTTCAAGTCCACGAGGCCGTCTTTCGTCATGGAAATCCTGTGATCACATGTACCTCTGGGGTGAGTACGAACAAGCTTTGCTAGCTGCGCAGTGACATTACAAGGGGCTTTTATGTGGTTGAAACCAGCTCGAAGCAGCTCGGAGCAGGGGTCTTGCCCACACCTCATGGTAGACGCCCACAGGTTACTAGGATCTAACTGTGTGTAGCTGCTGCCAGGCAGAGGAACTTAGTTTAAAAGATATACAGCTGGCCCCTGTGAAGGCCTTTTTATGGTGTGACTAAACCACGAAGTGCCTAGAACACATTTCTCTAAGTGATCCCACTTAGCGCTCGCACGGTGGGCTCCTGGGCCCTCTGCGGAGGTGGATGGGCCCGTCCCGCCCCATTGCCACTGCCACACAGGGGCAGCCCTGAAGACCCCCCCAGGGGCTTGGATGGGCTTCAGAGGAAGCTGTTTCCCACTCCTCTCCGGGGGGCACCCAGCTCCGACAGGCCCACCCCCCTTCCCGTCCGCCTTGTTTCTGGTCCTGAATCTGCCCTGCCTGGGCTCCTCTGCCCCCACAGGGCCCACGTGCCCGGAACCCCGCTCCCCGCACCACTGAGATGCTGCAGCCGCCCCGCCCGAGGGGGCCCATCCTTCTCTCATGCCGCCCTCCCCTCACTCCTGGTTCTCCCTGGCTGTCAGGTGGGCCCGAGGCGGCGGTCACCGGAGAGTGTGTGGAAGGGGGGCACAGATCTTTGTTGTTTTTTGGTTTTTAGTAGTTGTATTTCTTTTTTGTTTGTGCCCAACAGAGGCCTGAGGACTGAACCCAGGCCCTGGTGCATGCCAAGCACACACTGTACCACTGAGCTGCACCCCCCGCCCCACAGATCTGCCTTACAAAGGGAACAGGAAGGCAAAAACTCACCTGGGAGGTTTGTAAGTTTGCGAAGACGAGAAGGAACATCCACTTACAGCTTACATTCCCAGACAAATGGGGGCTTCGATGGCTGTCCCCTCGGCCCCATCCCCTCACCCCCACGGGGAAACCCCTTGTCATTGGCACCTCTGAACCCAAACGGGCACACCCACAGGCCAGCGGGGAGCAGGGCTCTCTACTCGCGGGAGGCGGCGCCTGGCTCCATCCTTCCCGCCCAGGGGGCACTGAGCCCTGAGGACACCAGGCCCAAGCCTGTGCTCCTTCCTCAGTGGTTTTGCAAGCAACACAGAACGAAGCCACACCAAAGTCTTCCTAACAAAATCAATTTCCCCGCTAAGCTCACGAAAGTAAAATAAAGGAATGGATAGTCAGGACACATGTAACTCAGAAAATATTAAAATGAAATACTGTAAGGATAGCTAATTTTTTAATAAGAATCGGGGGTCTTTAAGGGTACAGCCCGCGAGCTGAAGCCTGCTCAGCACCACTGGTGGTGTGCTGAAGACGGCCCGCGGGGCCCGCGGTGAAACCGAGCCTAAACAATACACAATAAAGTATAATTTCTGTTTTGATTAATACAAAAAATTACAAAGTAGTCCCTGCCCCAAATTCTTACGTTACGAAAACGAAATAAAACCCTAAAATGAGGTGGTTATACACTGTATTAGACTCGGACGGCCGTACAGCTGCCTTCAGGATGCCGGCAGCCGGCTCCGAGCTGAGTGGGCGGCGCTGGCCAGCAGGCGGGCTCTCCAGGTGCCAGGCCCCTCCCTGCAGTTGGGCGGGGCCACACCTGGACCCGCCCTCCGGGCAGGTATGCACGCGTGCTGGTCAGTAGCCTCCGCCCCTCCGGTCTATCGTGGGCAGGCGACACTGTTTCAAGGTCGGCTTGATGTCCTTCTGTGCGTCTGTCTGTTAAAGAAAGTGACAGGCACTCAGTAGGGCCAGGATGGGTGCTGCAGTGGCCAGGGGAAGCCGGGGGGAAGCCTACCTTCTGGTTTGCACCAACACACTTCAGGGGTCTCAGCAATGGGACTCTGCCGTTTGCCCCTGGGGCCAGCACTGACTGTAGCGCCGGGCTGGAGTACGAGGACAGTTTGGTCACTCCCGCCAGCTTAAGTTTGGGCAGTTCCATCAGGTAGGCCGGTCCTGGTCTCCTAGGATGGTCCTCCTCTTGCTTTAGGGGTTGTTTCTTGAAACAAAACAAAGGCCAGTTGAAAAGAAGATGATTCCCCGCTCATGGGAATTAGGAAAAACAAGAGCAGCTCTTTCGTAGTACCTTTGCCAACACAATTTCCTGACCGTGAGGTGTGACCACAAGGTGACTGGAACACACACACCAGGTCCCAGCCACCCACAAGTGAGGCGGCCATTCACTAGGCCAGGCCCTGGACTAATATCGGGGGAGGCCGAGCTGTGCCGTGCGTGCAGCTCTGCAAGGGCCGAGGCCCCGGTGACGCCGCCTACTCTAATTCCTGGAGGGTGGCCAGAGCGGCTGCGGCCGCTTCTCTGTGGCCAGTGAGTTAAGGATGGATTTCACACCTTTCAATAGTTGGGAAATTTTCCTGGCATGTGAAAACTACATGAAATTCAAATTTTAGGGCCCACAGTTTTACTGAAATCCACCCCCACCATTTGTTTACATATCATCCATGGCACCACAAGCCAAAACAAGTGAGCAGTTGAGACAGAGACTCGGGCCTGCAAGGCCTAAACCTCGGCCAAGTGGGCCTCGCAGACCAGCCTGGGCCTCGTCTCCGCCTGCAGGGGGCGCCTTTAGTGGATGGAAGCGGGAGAGACTAGGCACCTGCCCAGGAGGGAGGGGAGGCCCCGCAGGGGCGGCAGTCAGGGGGCAAAGATGCGCGAGGCTCAGGCTGGAGGTGGGGTGGAGTCCGTCCAGGGTTCAGGGCCCTGAGCATCTGAAGGACAGACAGCAGCACAGGGAGAAAAGCAGGTTCAGGGGGAGCAGAGCCTGGGTTTGAACACGTTTGCCTCCTGGACTCCCAAACACAGCTGGAAAGCAGCGGGCTGGACACGGGGGGCCTGGGTTTCTGCAAAACAACCTGCCTGCAAGTGCATCTGGGCCCTCAGCCCTCAGCCCAAAGCCACAGCCGCTCAGCGTCAGGCTGAGTGGTAACTGATGGAAGGGCACAGCTGCCAGTCTGGAGCCAGCTCACACCTGGAAAACTGGGGGGACTGAGCAAATGGGGGCCACACAGTATCTGAAAAGAACGCTCTGGTTTCTAAACCAGAAAGTGTGCAAAATGACCCTCCGTGATGGTCAGCGTGCCCCTCTGGAGCCTGCTGCTCTCACAGGGGCTCAATGGCCAAGTGGGAACGGTCACCTAGGCCAGAGTTAGACTCTCTGTGGCCCTCCTTGGGCTGGTCTGAGGGCACAAGGAGGGGACACGTGCACTGCTTTGGCTCAGACCCTGGCCCTGTGTGAAGAGCCCCACCTGGGGATGCGGTCAGTCTCAGCCAGAGTGGCAGGAAGGGCGGGCGCAGTTGCAGCCGGGCTGCCTGTGTCCCAGCACGGGGAGATGCTGTCTGGAGGGGTGGCAGGTCGCTGACAGACGCGGCAGCCCAGCCAGCCACGCCCTCCACGGGTGGCGTCGGCCTGAGAGACACAGGCCCGAGGGCACCAGCCCGGGCTCGGCTCACCGACACTCTCAGTACCTGCTTTCGGCCCTCCTTGGCAGTTAGCCAGGTGCTGCTGAGCAGTTCCGGGGCCACAGGGTGCTGTGGAAGGAAAAGTTGTGGCTTTCCTCCAGTGGCTGGCCAGAGCCTGCTTCTCGGTGGCCCTGCAGGGAGGGTAGAGAGGAGGGGGCGCCTGCCCTCAGAACCCCCCGACCTGCAGCCTGTCTGCCTTCTTTGTCTCCAAATCGGTGAGCGCCTTGTCGCTGCCTCCCCTCCCCCACGTGCGCTGCCCGAGGAGCCCTTTCCCTCTCCTGCTTCTGCCTGTCTCGGGGCCGGGAGCGGAGGGGTCCACCCCCCGAGACACTCAAGGCTTGGGGAAGATGAACCCCCTTGTCACACGTGCCCCAGTGGACACGGGTGTGGACTCGCATGCCCTCTGGTGCCAGGTGCCACCCAGGCACCCTCAGACCTCATGGCGCGTTCACCGTTTACCCGGACATGCGCGAGATGACTCGTGAGTCTAAACAACTTAGCCTTGGCATCGATGAGAAAGCAGCTACAGAGCCCTCCTTCCGCCCCCTGCGCAGCCACTGACAGCCTCCTTTCTGGAGACTATACCAGAAGGGGCAGGCTGGGGGTTCCCTGAGGTACTGGCACGGCTCCTAGGACCCACCTGCCCCACCACGGGCCCCACGGGGCCCCGCCAGCACGCCCACCTCTGCTGGTGGAAGTAGGGGTGCTGCAGGGCCTGGTGGGCAGTGATTCTCTCGTCTGGGTCATAGGCCACCATGGCGTGCAGGAGGGACAGGCATTGTGGAGACAAGCTGGCTGTCAGGAGAGGTATTCCTGATCCCTTTTTAAAAGGAAAATCGAAACTCATAGCTCTCGACCTGTATTAAAAGCCCAACGATAATAAACGATCACACCATCACTGGAGCTCGTGGCGGGTCCATCATCGCGACTCTGTGGGGCCTGCACTGAAGGTAATGGTTAACGGTCACAAAGGGGGGGGACTGGACAGCGTTCCAAATCCAGAGAATGCAAGAGTGGACCAACACGGACACTGTGGGCTCTGGGTCACAGTGACGTGCCAGTGCAGGCGGACCCCAGCAGATGTGCCCCAGGGCCCGCGCTGACGGCACGGAGGCCGCGCGCTGTGAGGGAGGCCAGGTGGCACACGCGAGACTTCTGTACCTTCCACTCAGGTGTTCTGTGAACCTCAAGCTGCTCTAAAAAATGAAGTCTATTTTTAAAAAAAGGTGGGGGAGGCCATGAAATCTGTTATGCTGTAAAATGTAAGAAAACTACTTTTCTTCAAAAAGACTAATCTCTCACTCCCACCAGAAGCATAAAATAAAGTTTAAAAAAGAAAAGAGTCCAAAATAGTTGTCATCTCTTTACTGCCCTCACAGGGCCCTCCCTTGGAAGCCCCCAGCCCCCGAGTCCCCGTCCAGCTGACGGAGTGGCCACAGGGCTGGGTGGCAGCTACACTGGGCCCTTGCGTGCAGCCCATGTTTGACGACCTTTCTCACCCAGAGGCCTCTATATCCTAGTAAGTGTTCAGGGGACAAGACCTGACTGTCCGGCCCTCAGAGGGGCTGTGAGGAGGCTCTGCCTGGGCAGCCGTGCTGGGGCCAGTGGTGCCCAGCAGGCGCACAGGAGGCTGTGGGGTGAAGTACCCTGGCCTGGCAGGGTGAGTCCCGGGGGACTCCTGGGAGCAGGTGCACTTACTGCTTGAACTTGGCAAGGGTCTTCTCAGTAGGCGTGCCGATGATGTCGTGGATTCTGGAGATCTGGTCCAGCTCATTGGCTCCAGGGAAGAGGGGCTGCAGGCTGGGCAGGTGCAACCAGGGGCTGGGGTCAGGGCAGCAGCCCAGGTGGAACCCGGGGTGCCAGCCTTCCCCGCATGGTGACTTCCATCCCCCTGGGGCGTAGGCCTTCCTCCATCTCCTGTTCCAGACAGAGACAGAGCCCTCTGCCCGCACAGCCCGGGTCTCTGCCGGCTGCGAGATGTAACCACCAAGGGTCTTCCCACAGCCCAGGAGAGTTTCACTGGCAAAAACTCAGGCTGGGCCAGGGCAAGTTTTGCTGCCAATTGAGTTCCAAGGAACATTTTGGGTTTGGAGTTTTTCAAGGATTGTGGAATTGTGGATGAAAGACTTCAGACCTGTAACATACTACATGCCACAAAGGAGGGTTTAAAAATCTGGCTCTGACAGTAAGACTAGCTTCTAGCCAAGAGAACAGCAGCATCTCATGGCTCTAGGGGAAGAAGAGAAAACGCAGGCGAGCAGGTACCAGATCCCAGTGGGGGAGGCTGAGCAGCAAAGCACAGCTCCCTGGGGTCACCGCTGGCAGCTAGACTCAGACCAGGTCGTCGTGCACTTAACGCTTAAGCCCTTTAACACCCTCGACTGACTCCCAGGGCTTCAGCGCAAGAAGAGACTGTCTGCTGGTACTTCAGCGGCAGTGAAAGCGTCACTCTCCTTTCACCTATCAGTACAAATGACCCAGAATCAGAAGGTGGGCCCTGAAGGACAAGGGGTCAGCAGAGCAGGCAGGAGCAGGCGGCCTGGGTGCTGCCTGTGCTGGGCTCTGCGTTCTGCTGCACATCACCCTGACATTAAATTCACCCACCTCTTCATGATCCACTTCCTCCTTGGGTTTCTCCAACCCAGTACCCTCCGCCTGGGAGAAGAGCAGGCCCTCCTCCCCTCCCCCGGCCTCTGCTCCATCCAGAGGCTGCAGGGGAGGACACTCAGGGTCAGGACTCGCTGGACTCCAGCCCGTCCTCACACCTGGGAGGGCTGCGCCGCTGAGGGCAGACCTGGGGACCCACCGCTCACACCTCCCCATGCCAGGCCCCACGAGTGGCAGTGAGCACGCTTCTACTCTGCTCCTGAATCTGGTAATCAGCTGTGTCACTGATGAAGCCAAATGAAAAGGCCCCCGGACCCCGGGCCGGGCGGGCTGGCAGGAAACAGGTAACTGACAGTCGTCTTCTCCATGACAAGCAAACAAGGAAAAGTACTTGACAAAAAGGAAAAGGAAAGCCCAACACAGTTTCCATCGTTAGAAAACAGCCACAACAGAAGAATGACAGTAAAACCTGTGCAGCAAAGGAAGGGGCTGGCCCAGAGCCCCTGGACCGGCCGAGCCCCACTGCACGAGCTGCCTCAGGACACCGACACAGGGGTCCAGCGGCAGGCGGGGCGCCCCGCGTGCGGCCGGCTCAGCACTACCTGGCCACCTCGTAGAGCACGCAGCCGGCACTCCACACGTCCATCTTGTAGGTGTAGAAGCCGTCGGTGAGGAGACACTCGGGGGCCCGGTACCAGCGGGTGGAGATGTACTCTGTGTACGGCTGCTTCGAGTACACACTCCGGCAGGACCCAAAGTCCCCTAATTTCAGGACATCCTGCTGCGAGGAGGGGAGCAGGGACAAATAACATCTCGTCAAGTAGCTCTTGTAACACCAACCATTTCAAATATTTACACACTAATGGGAGAATTACTGACATCTAAACTAGCTTGTAAAATATAAACTACTGGCTTTGTAAGCACCTGAAACTGCCTCTAACAGAAGAGGAAGTGGTGTTTCTATTCAGTGGAACACATCTACAAATATTCTGGCTACGTTTTACAGATATTTCAAAACGTCTACTGGCTTCGGAAATTCTGAAGTCCCAGTGCAAGTCTACAAATGAGCTGCACACGCTGGTCACATCCCCTGTTACGCCTCAAACCCCCCATTCTGTCCAGCGCTTCTGGCAGCGTGGTTCCCGCTCGGGGGTGGCTGGGCTGGGGCAGGACAGACAGCCCAGGGAAACAGGTGTCAAGGCATTTCTTCCACCTTCTTTACCCCTCACATTCAAGTAATAAAACGCATGCTGTCAATACATTTGAAGCCTCTGGCTCCTACAGCCACAGTGAACACTGCACAGCACCACTCCTCACCAGACTCTCAGGAAACCTACTCTGCTCGCCTTTTACCTCTGTTCCCATTCCCGATACATTCAACACAAATTACCAGGCATGTTAAGGGGCAAGAAAAAACACAGTCTGAAGATTCAGACAAAGCACGCATCAAAACTGGGCTCAAATACAACACAGGTTTTAGAATTTTAGAATTACCAGACAGGAAACTTAAAACAACTATAATTAATTTGTCAAAGGCTCTAATGGAAAAAGTAAAGAGCATGCAAGTTCAGGTGGAAAACATAAGCAGAGAGATGGAAACCCTAAGAAAGAACCAAAAGGAAACACTAGAAATAAAAAACACTTTAACAAAATTTTAAAATGACTGATAGGCTCAGCAATAGCCTAAGCACAGCCAAGGAAAGAACCAGGGGGCCTGAAGACCCGCCTAGAGAGACTCCCCAAACTGAGACGCACAGCAGCAGAAGACTGGCAGAAACAGGACCGAGCACGCAGGAGCCGTGGGGCGGCTCCACAGGGTGCGGCACACGTGTAACGTGGCCAGCTCTCAAAATGACGCTGACTGCAAGGAGCCAGCCCAAACAAGAGTACATGCCATCAGATTCCACTTATAGAACATTTCAGAAAATACACACTAATTCTGTAATGACAGAAAGTCAGCCAGTCTTCGCCTGGGGACAAGGGATGAGGAGGGAGGGGTCACCGAGGGGCAAGAGGAAACTTCTGGGGGCGACGGACTTGCCTGCTGACCTGACTGGGATGCTGTACGTTACACCCAAATGCACTGAACTGCGCACTTCACGTATGTATAGTTTCAGGGGTTTCAAGTGAGACAGATCTGAACTCGGTTCCTGCTTCTTCCACTTTACAAAGATAGTTTGAGTGGAGTTTATTTTTGCATATAGTATTAGAAGGATGCCTAAGATAACTTTTTTCCAGATGTCCACTTACATTGATGGCATTTATTAAATAAACTGTTTTTCCAAACTGGAAGAAAAGAAATTAAAATAGACATGGTATCCAGCTATCAGGGACTGAAAGCACATCTGATGGAAAGGTTTATATTCTACCTCTATTCTGATACCAATTCTTCATTTAAAGGTTCTTACCTTTATCAATATATTTTCTGGTTTTACGTCTCTGTGAAATATTCCATTTCTGCATGCAACATAAAACGGAGGATAGAATTAATGGTACTGCATTCATTCAAAATCTTGTATGCTGTATTTTTAATAAATGTTAATACATTTTTTAAACTTGAAAGCCACCAAGTCCCCAGGTGCGTACCTGTGCATATGGTCGAGAGATGTACACAGCTGGTACATATAGTGCGCAATTTTTTTTTCTGACAATGGGTGTCTTCTCCCTGTGTGATCAAGGAAACAGCCAAATATGGTTACCAATGGTCCACACCCCCTTTACTGAAACCAAAATAGAATCCATTTTTATTAACAATGTGAAAATCTGACTTTCTCAGTGAAAAACCACCTGAAGTAGTTCTAGGAAATACGGAGTCTATCTACAAAATATGCCAGTTAAAATTCAAGAGACTGGCACAATTTCACTTAAAATCCCAGCGCCATGCCTCTCTGACTGCAGAGCGGCAATCACAGGGCAGCTCAGCAGGACAACACAGCCTCGGGCGGCCCCAGGACGGGCCTTCTAACGCAGGATGCGGGATCGGGAGCTGTCCGGAGGCACGTGCAAATCCAGTGTTTCCCCAGCTTCCTGTCTAGATGGAGGGCTCCATTTCTAAGGGGGGCACCACACAGCTCGGAAGAGTACGTTTTCTTAATCCGACAAGACCGACGCTGGCTTTGGCTTTCACAGCCCACGGGCTCCTCTCACAGAGGCAGCGATCCTGACCATACTGTGGGCACCTGCTCCTGGGGGCGCCATCCCCTCGCCCTGCTCTCCACACCTTCCTCCCCTCCTGCCGTGTTCAGGATGCTCTAAAACTCCCAACACTACACTCCAGCATCCTAGCTACCCTCGTGCTGGACGATGTCACATTTCACTTGATTTTAATTTCAAAGGTCTATGTTTTTTGGTTATTAAGTTTTAAATCAGCAAAGTATCCACTCTCAACAATTCAGAAAACCATTCTTCTCTCCATGAGCATATGTCCCACTTGACATTTTTGGTCCTAAATTTGCAATTTCTGTTGAAAAAAATTAACACATTCTTTTTTCTGCGTAACAAGAATGTTCATGTTAACAATAGAAAGTAACTTAAATTATAAAATGTCTAAGTGAAATGAACTTTTTCCATGTCATACTATAATCTTTTTATCCCATTTCACGTAATTTATCATGTTTTCCAAAATTGAATTAAAAGAATTAAAACTAAGACTGTCAGCTTTCCCTAGCTTAAGGAATCCTGTAATTTTATTAATTATCTACATAAAGGTGAGAAGAAAGAAAACTTTACACAGGAGGCTGGATGAAGCTTCACGAAGTTCGGCCCTCCTCTGAGAGGGCTCTCACTGCCCCCTAAACAGCCTGACTCCCAAGACCCCTGTCTGCAGATCCCTGCTGGTACATGGGCTCTCAGGATACAGGAGCTTGTGAAGACCCAGACTGCTCCCCGCCCTCACCCCCAGACATTTCTGGCTCAGTAAGTCTGCTGTGCGGCCCCCAAAGCTGTCTTTCCAACACATTCTCAGAACTGGCTCCTGGGCCCAGTCCTCCCTTTGGAGACCACGCCTACCACATCCTCTTGTTTTGCCGAATGCTCCAGTCCCACCCATCTGTGGACGTTGCTGCACATGTGAACAGTTGTACTCATGCTTTCTGCTCCTGGAAGCACCCCTCCCAGCCATGTCCACACCTTACTTGTGGCATAATATTGTCACTATAGTCAACTGAACTTGAACTCCAGAAAGGTGGGCTCTTTTAGGAAAAGTCTAAACCATCCAATCTTCATAATCACCTTGGGAGCTTTTAAAAGGTAGATTCCAAGGCCCAAACCCAGACCTAGTGAACCACAAATCTAGGCAGGTGGGCCAGGAGCCTGTGTTTCCAGCTGCCTCCAGCCCCTGGTGTGAGGGCATCTTCAGGTGCCTGCCCTTTCTCTCTTCCCGGGTCCGATCCCTCACGTCAACGGCCTCGACCCCTTTGTAGCCCTGGAAGCAAGGACATGACTCTCTCCCCAGCCCCTCTGTAGGAATCCCTGCCTGCATAAGGGGCTACAGTGGAGCGAGGGAACCGCATGGACCATGCGGGATACTGGTCTGGACCATCGGAGTCCACACCCTCAACAAGGAGAGGAAAGACTATCAACTCTTCACAACAGTTTTTCCAAAACAAGATCCTAACTTTTCAGGCCCAAGGCTGCATCTGGTTCCCACCAGATTTTTGTTTACAAACATCTTGAAACAAATAAATAGAGTATAATTAATAAACTACTCTTAAGTTCCTCATATGAAATTCCTGAATGCCAGTAGACTGCAAACAGCATCTCCCTGGTCTGTTGTGGCTCTTCCGACCAAATTCACTTTTGCAAGTTAATTTTTACCAAATATTCTCTTTAAGAAGATTCTAAAGAATGGCACATACAATCCAGCAATGTGAAAACCCTAACAACGGTTAACTGTGGCGTCGGCTGTCAACACTGACTGAACATGACCGCCAGGGTAGCCGGCGCTGCGCACCACGTCCAGCACACTCCCCTTCCCACAAGGCTCTGGCCCCAGGTCTGGGCCTGGCTTTCCTGGTCAGGCCTGGAGGTGTCTGCTGGCTCCACCAGGGCACAGCCAAAGGCGCCTGGGCCCAGGGGCTCTGCCCCACGGTACCCAGTAAGCACGTTTGCTGGCAGTATTTTCCACAGGAGAGCCGTGCACTAGGCCACACTGCTCTGAGAGAGGGAAGAGGTCTTCACAGGCAGAGCCAGCAGGTGGGACGTCAGGATCAGCGTGGAGCTGGACGTCACCAGGGCCCCTCTCTCATCAACCAAGACAGATGCAAGGATGGGGTCCTCCCGCTTCTGCTCTTTGAAGCTGGCTCATCTTAGGCAAGTGCTGTAACTTCTGACCTTCAATTTCCTTCCCTCCGAATGGAGTGGAGCTCAGAGAGCTGGGAAGATGAAACACAGCAACACAGAGCAAGCCCGTGACAAACCGTACAGTTCCACGATAACGGCAGTGACCTCACCAGCCAGGCACTGCTCTAAACACTCCACACGTGCTACTTGGTTTACTCCTCACAGCAACCCTGAGAGGCAGACACAACGTCCCCACTGCACAGACAAGAACGAAGGCTCATGGAGCGTGACCGCCTCCCATCACTACATACACTCGGCACTGTGAGTGCTGGACCCGGAGAGTGGTTCTGCGATATGGGTGATCCACGCTGCGTCAACATGGCCACACGGGAACAGCACTTCCCAGAAGCAGCAGCTTTAAAACTAACAGACAGCGCCATCGGCTTGGAAGAAAATGCCCGCGGCAAAAAGGCTGGGTCACTCACTCTGAATGGCACAGAGACCCACAGCGTGAAAACGAAGACACCGACCACTGTGTCAAATGTCTGAAGGAGTGTTAGGAAGGCCGTGACAGACTGACGTCACCTCCACTTTCCTTTCATACATGCATGACGGGACGGTGACATGGGAGGAAACTCTAAATAGTTCTCAAAGAGCTCTTTTAATAAGGACAGAACTAAAGTCGCTAAGTGATAAGAAAGCTAAGTGTCAGAGCAGAACTGTTAATGTTTTCTTCCTTTTTGTTGGTACTTAAAAAAATAGAGCATCTTACAATCTGGTGAGTCGGATCTGATGACCTATAAAAACAAGACTGAATTAATCTGACACGGTACTGTCATGCAAAATCATTAGGCCACACGGTGATAAGGCACCCCGCCCTAAGCCGTCCTGGGACTGAACTGTCACATTTGCTTCCAGTCAAACCAAGCTTGTTTTGCTTTTCCCTTCCTGGTTCACCCCCCAGTATCGCGGATTTATTTTAGGACACCTGGCCCACTCACAGACTCTAAAAGGTATTACCCCAAGGTGACAAGGCCAGCCCAGTGGACCTACAACAACCTATGCTCCAGAAGGTGGCTGGTGACGAGGACTTCTGGGCCACGTGCCGCCAGGGGACAGTCTCTGGGTCTGGGTGGCCAAGTCTGTCAAGAGAGAAGCCGAGGCAGGAGGCTATGTGGCCCTAAAGCGGCCAGCAGAGGCCTGAGCAACCAGGGCTTTCCTGGTTTCACGATGGGCTGTCAAGAGGCAGTGTGCGTGGTGGTTAAGACAAGACTCTGGAACCAGACTGCCCGCATCCTACCCCCAGCTCTGTCTCTAATTAGGTAACTGACCTTGGACAGGTTACTCATCTCTCTCCTCCTTTTTATCACCTTTAAAGGGGGACCACGAATATCTGCCTGGTAAAATGAGCTAATTCCCATCGAGGGCTCAGAACAGTGCCTGGCACGTGGTTAGCACCCAGGACCTGCTACACATCATCATCACCGTCACTGTGGCCGGCTGGCACCCCGTGTCCGTGGTTTCTACATCCACGGGTTCCGCATATGAGGTTCCCGTGGTGGGCTGAATCCGTGGCTGTGGAATCGGTGGAAAGGAGGGCCGCTTTACATGAGGGACTTGAGAATCCACGGATTTGGGTATCTGAGCGCGCGGGTTGGGGGGACCCTAGAACCAATACCCTGCAGATTCTGAGGGACGACTGTATTTCCTCAATTCTAAGGCAGACTTTTTTTTTCTCCCACATTTTAACAACTCTGAAATCAGGATGCGTATTTCAATATGCAGTATCTCACAGTCACTGTGAGCTGTCTGTCCCACATCTTAACACCTCTGAAATTCAGATGCTCCTTACCACTGGCGCATCTTGGGTTCTGTAGTAGACACTTGGTGTTCACGTAATGAACGAGTGTCCGCTGAGCTATAATACATGAGTTTGTTTTCTGCAATTTCTCTCTGTAGACAGATACTAAAAGAAATGAACTCAATTTCTCCAATTATACAATTCCCCTACAACTGGGAAATTAAAGACATTTATTTCTAAAGAAAGCTTTCTCAAATCTAAACACACAGAAACTTGCCAGAAATTATTCCCTCTCCTTGAGTTTTAAAATCCCACACTCCAGGAAGCAACAATCAAAATTCTAATAAAAGACATGCACCTAACAACAAGAAAATTGTTACTAAACAAAGGATGTGATTGTGTAGATTCATTAAGATGCAAAATGTTGGCTTCCTGGTAAAAAGATTATCGTAAGTTACTGCAGAGTTCAGTGGTTGTCTTCTCTTGGTTCAGTCTGATACCCTCTCTGGATACTCTGTTACGTATGTATACCCACAAAGAGAATCAGAGTGAAGACGCTGTGTCAGATAGCATGTATCTGAAAACGCAGTCGTAGGGTAACACCTGTTTATCCAGGCTGTTTGGAGTAAGACCTTACGTGAAATTTCCAGATAATGAGATTTACTCCTTGAACATAAAACTCTCTTCTACACTAATCATTTTAAATGGAAATCTTTTAAAAACAATTCATTCACTTTCCCACCCTTCCCATCACCGTTTACAGAAGCAGTACTATGGCTGGCACCACATCCATTCCTTGGTTGCACTTTCTCTGACCTGTCTTGGGGACTCTGGCAACTTCCAGCTATTTGCCCAGACCACTCTCGGTTTTGTTTTGTTTCTTCTTTGGCCTCAGGTACATGTTTTATATTTTCAGTCCCCTCCCCCATTATCAGATTGTCACCTGTCACTTTCTGTTGGTATGCCAAGTTAGAGAACCTCCTTCTAAGAGCTCTATTTTTAACAGATTTTAAGCCAAGAAACCAGATGACTAAGTTTATTGAGAACTGTACTTAAAACAAGATTAAACAGATAACTGAGTGAGGGGCTTACCTATGAATAAAATACACAAGGCTTGTAACTTACAAGAAGTACCATATATTCCCAGATATAAGGCAATCTTCTATTTTCTCCAAAAGATGCAAAAAAAGTTTTTGGATCCAAAAGTTTTACATCAACTTTTACAGATATAGAAAAACTTCCCTACCTACGATATTTATTTTATTAGTAATTTACTAAAACACATTTGAAATCACAGGTAAGATAAATTAATTTGATACAATGCTTTGTTCCACTCTCTCACTTCATTAAAATAATTTTATTTGAACTCTTCACATGCATCTTCAACATCAGTGTCTTTCTCATCACAAGAACAGCCCCTCAATCTGTCTTCCCCAGCACGTCATCTTCAAATTGGGCCAAAATTGCCTGACAGCATCATACAGCAGGTTTTAAATCTTCTATGCCGCCGTCACTAAGACCATTTCCACTGTAGACGGCCCCTCACGTGCAGAAGGCAGCCGGCTCTCCCTCTGTTGGGGACGTGTAACGGGGCCCGCACAGCACAGCACCTCCTGAACTGCTTTCCCAGTGACGCAGGCTCATCTATCCTGGGGTCTAACGCCACTGTGAGGTCAGACTGCAGGGTATCTCCCTCCTTTTCTCCTCTTCCCTCAGGTGACCTCCCTAAGCTTCCAAAACCAGCCGTGACCTCATCAGGGAAACGAGCTTTCCTAAACAGGGCAGCATTGTTCAAAAGAGAGGAAGTGAAGGAGCGCCCCCTACCCCCGGGGGCTCTGTAAGGACCCGAACAGGAGGCTCCCTCTCAGAGGGGCGGTCTGGGGAGGAGAGCCCTGCCTCACACTGAAGCACAGGCTAGAACATCGAGCAACCGCAGAGCCAGGAAGAGACCCTCAAAGGGGACAGGCTTGGGTGTGCAGTCCCCCGC